GCCCACAGAGGGGCTGCAACATATCCAGGACAGTGCTGGAGTCACTCCGTGCCGTCCTACATGGGACTGAGTCCCATCTGAAGTGTGGAGGACAGGAGGCTCTGAGGGGAGTGGCAGCCTCCTAGAGCCCATCAAGGCACAGCCACAGGGTCAGGGGAGAGGCCAGAGAGGTGGGGAGCCAAGAGGCAGTTCTTGGGGGATCCCCAGAACAGCTTCTCCAGATGACCCTCAGGGCAGAGGTGACCTGGCAGAGTCTTGCTGGAGCAGCTGAAGCCTGTCCCTGTCTTTCCCTGAAGCTGAGGCAGCCCTGCAGCGGCAGGAGGAACTGGAGACGTTGTGCGTGCAGCTGCAGCGGCAGGTCAGGGAGATGGAGGTGAGAGAGGTGCGGCCCCAGGGGATGCGGGCAGCCAGCAGTCCCCAGCTCTGCATGGCATGCTCCTGAGGAACTCGGTCAGAGCCCACCTCTCTGGGCCTCTCCTCATCACATCCCAGCCAGGGACCCTGCCCTGCTGGCCCTACCCAGGACTGGCCCAGAATTTAAAGAGCCAGGGAGGTGTCTGGGGTTGGGGCACAGCCCTGCTTTTGGGCCCTCTGAACGTGCCTCTCCCCTGCTTAGCACACCTCATGGCTCCCACTGGACTGAATTGCACAGTCCTCGCCGCGGCCTCTGCGTGCCTCTTCATGTTATCTTGAACCACTCTCCCCTCCAGCCACGAGGCCCTTCCTCCGGGTCTTTGACCACATGGAGCTGCTTCCCAACTCAGGGCGTTGGGCGGTGCTGTTGCTGTTCCCTCTACTGAAATGTTTCCCCACCTCCCCCCGGCCAGTTCTACTGGCCTCAGTCATATCCCCCGGGCCTCCTAGACAGGTTTTCCATCCCATGCTTTCTCAGTGCCTCGTCTCTCTTTCCTTGTGGGATTCTGAACTCCACGAAGGAGGAAGCAGTTTCCTCCTGTTTGTCACTGTGCACCCAGGACCTAGCACTGAATTGAAGCAATTTGCTGCCTCTGGCTGTGACTTCTGCTCACTGGGGACTCAGTGACCCCAGTCACCTTTCTTTCCCCCACTCACATAGCCATTCAAACAGCAAGGGAACTAGAGGGACACCAGGCACAGGGAAGGGTCCCAGGCACGCATGGGCCCTGCCAGAAGTTCTTCCTGGGATTCAGCCTCTCTCCCTCTCCACGCAGAATTGGATTCCAAAGTCCCAATCTAATTTAAAATCTTGGCAGCAAACCTCCAGGTGCAGCTGAGAGCCCTTCCCTCTCCAGGCTGTTCATACCTGGGCTTGTCCCGGAGCAGTAGCCACAGGCGGTGAGGGCTGTGCCAGAGCCTCGGGGCAGGGGCATGACTGCCCTTGCAGGCGTCTCAGCCACACAGTTACCACATCATTCATTTAACAGCCTCGTCTGGAGGATCTGCCTGGGGCAGGCCTGGGGCAGAGCATGACCAAGACAGACATGGTCCCTGCCTGCATGAGGCTGCCAGTCTGTGGGGAGGGGAACAAATGAATACACAGGTACACAAGTACAGAGAGTGCTGTGACTTGATGAAATGGGTGACACCACAGAGGCAAGTTTTGGGGGACCACCTGTGGGGGTGACATTGGGCATGATGTCTGGTGAATGAGGAGGGGATGGGGTAAGAGGATCCAGGTTTAGAAGGGAAAGGTGCCACTTCCCACCACATAACTTGGCTTGTGGTCAGTGGCTGTGTGGAGGAAGGAGAAGAATGGGAAGAGAGAAGAGGTCGTAGGGCCCTCATCACATTGGAGCCGCCCGTGGTGCTGACTGGATCCTGTCCTGAAAAAATGGGAAGCCATTGGAAGGCTTCAGTTTGAGAGGTGGCGTGACGAAAAGACCACCCTGCTATGTGGGGGTGGGTGGTGCGGGTGAGGAGAGGACAGGGGGAGGCAGGCGCCACCCCTGGATTGTCCAGGAGAAAGATGACGGTGGCTTGAACTAGGGTGGTGGCAGCAGATGGAGCCCAGCAGATGGGTTCCAGGCTGCATTGGAGGGGACACCACAGGCCTTGCGGGTCATCCAGGAGGAATGGGCCACAGAGGATTCTCAGGTGGAGGGGGTGCCATTTCCAGAGACAGGAAAACCTGGCGCGGGGAGAGGTCTGAAAGGGGGGCGGGAGCCATGACCATTAGACATCCAAGTGTAGACGGTTGGAAATGTGAGTCTGGAGCTTGGGTGAAATCTGCATAAATACAAATTTGGGTTCTGTTGTATATGTTCGGGAGAGCGTGTGGATGGAGCTGGGCCCTCACGAGTTGGTGTTGGATAGGAAGGGGAAATGATGAAGGAAACTGGAAAGGAACAGCCCGGGAGATGGGAGGAAAACTAGCAGATGGTGAAAGATAAAGACAGAAACGTGCCCGTGCGCTTGGCAGCGGGTGGGTTGGTGGTGGCAGCACCTTGAGCAGTTTCAGAGTGTGGCGATGGAGCCAGGTTAGAGTGGCTTGAGAAAAGAAGTGGGGGTGTGGATGTGTAGACAGTCCAGAAGTTTCCTGTGGCAGAGGGGACATGTGGCCAAGCCCTAGGGAGGCTGGCACATGGTTCACATCCCTCAGCCCTGCCTCCTCCTCACACTTGGACCAGGCCACATGGTTCCTGCAGCAAGGAGGCCGACCTTACCAAGCCCTCGCGTGGGCCGGGCACTGGCGGGCGTGAGCTTACTTGAGCCCTCCTCACAAGCTTAGGTGGCAGGAACTGTCATCTCCATTTTATTAGAGGAGTCATCTCAGGCTCTAGGGGCTGAAGCAGCTTTCCAAGGTCACAGCCAGGAAGTGGCAAGATCCCCCCACTCATCCCTCTGTCGGGTCAGCTCTGAGGGCCCCATCGCCTGCAGACTGAGGCTGGGCTTTGGGACGACGCTCTTTCCCTGGGATGGGGCTGAGCTGACGGTGCCCCTGCGTCTCCCGCTTCTTTCTCACAGCGGTTCCTCAGTGACTATGGCCTGCAGTGGGTGGGCGAGCCCATGGACCAGGAGGACTCAGAGAACAAGACAGTCTCAGAGGATGGCGAGAGGGACTGGATGACAGCCAAGAAGTTCTGGAAGCCAGGTAGAACAGGGTGTCTGTCCCAGGCCCTCTTCAAAAGGAATTCTCCAAGAGTTTGCTGCTGGCCAGCAGCTCCCCAGAGGCTCATCTCGTTCATACCTGGGCCCCTGACTTGAGTCGCCCTGAGAGCCCACACCTTGCCCCTGACACAATGCGGGAGTGGCCTCGGCCTCCATCACTGACCACTTAACCTGCTGGCCGGCTTCTCCCCGGTCCCCACTCTGCTCTCGCTCATCTGTCAGAGACCGAGAGATACAAGAGGTAGCAAGGCCTCATTTGCCTCTGGTTACATAGTCTACAAAATGCCACTCTAGAAGCTGTTGCTGTTTAAAAAAAAGCAATCCTTCTGTTCCGGAAGCTGCTCCCAAATTCTCAGGCTTGGCCTCCCTCTCCAGATTCACTTATGGCCCTTGGAACCCACCTGGTTCTGTGGGCCCCACTGTGTCTTTTTTTTTTTTGAGATGGAGTCTCGCTCTGTCACCCAGACTGGAGTGCAGTGGCACGATCTTGGCTCACTGCAACCTCTGCCTCCCAGGTTCAAGCAATTCTTCTGCCTCAACCTCCTGAGTAGCTAGGATTACAGGTGTGTGCCAACACACCCAGCTAATTTTTGTATTTTTAGTAGAGACGGGGTTTCACCATGTTGACCAGGCTGGTCTCTAACTCCTGACGTCTTGATCTGCCGGCCTCCCAAAGTGCTGGGATTATAGGCTAGAGCCACCACGCCCGGCCTACCATGTCTTATTTTTAACTTGACTGCTAATATCTAGAGGGATTCCTCCCACAGTCCCCTCCTGTAGACCCACAGATTTGGGTCCATAGAACTGGCCATTTCTGAAAACCAGGCCCATTCTCTTCAAAGAATGAGAATTGTCACCCAAAAGTTGATTCTCCAGGCTCTAGAGTCAGGCACGCCTGCGCCCTCAACTTGATCCCACCTCGTATCCCTGGTGTGACTTGGGCAGGTGACCTCTATTCACTTCATCAACAAAACAGGAGTGTTTTCCTTCCCTGGGAGTTACCAGGAGCAAATGAGTTAAACGCAGAGTGCCTAGCTCTGGCCTCGCTCGCAGCCATTGTTGTTTCCAAAGTCTGAGGGCAGGGGTGGTCAGAGGAGCACAGCTTCCACGGGGCCCATGTGGAAGATGACGGCACCTTCTTGGTTTCCTGTTTCCTGCTAGGTAAAAACCCAGACTCCAAACATGAGAATCCTGCCTCCTGTTTAGGCCTGGGCTCTGGCCGGATCCCCCCAAATCTCAGGGTGCAACGCCCTCACTGCTTGTTCTGAAAAAAACATCACTTCCCATTTTTGTGCCATTTGCAGCTTTCTTTTCTTTTTTTTTTTTTTTTTGAGATGGATTCTCGCTCTGTTGCCCAGGCTGGAGTGCAGTGGCACAATTTCAGCTCACTGCAACCTCTGCTTCCTGGGTTCAAGCAATCCTCCTGAGTAGCTGGGATTACAGGCACCCACCACCACACCCGGCTAATTTTTGTATTTTTAGTAGAGACAGCGTTTCACCATGTTGGTCAGGCTAGTCTTGAACTCCTGACCTCGTGATCTTCCCGCCTCAGCCTCCCAAAGTGCTGGGATTACAGGCGTGAGCCACCGCGCCCAGCCATTTGCAGCTAGCTTTCAAAGCATTTTCTTTTTTTTTCTTTCTTTTTCTTTCTCTTTTTTTTTTTTTTTTTTTTTTTTTGAGGCAGGATCTCACTTTTGCCTAGGCTGAGTATAGTGGCACAATCATGGCTCACTGCAGCCTCAACCTCCTGGGCTCAAGTGATCCTCCCACCTCAGCTGTCTGAGTAGCTGGGACTGCAGGCATGTGCCACCACACCCAGCTGATTTTCTTTATCTTTTGTAGAGACGAGGTCTCGCTACGTTCCCAAGGTTGGTCTTGAACTCCTGGATGCCAGTGATCCTCCTGCCTCAGCCTCCCAAAGTGCTGGGATTACAGTTGTGAGCCACTGTGCCATGCCAGCATCTTCATAGCCTTGACAGGGGCCAGGAGTTACTCCATTTCACAGATGGGTAAAGGGAGGCATTTAAGGAGTCTGTGGACTCATTATTCAGGGAAGAGGGGCAAGACTTAAGGCTGACAGCCCACTGGAAGACAGTTGGTCACTGAGGCAGAAGATGAGATGATGCCCAGCTTGAGGGTGGGGATGGTGAGAAGGGATGGGCAGAGAGATTTAGGTAGAATCCGTGGCCTTGGTGTCTTTACGTGAGGGAGAGGACTGGAGCAGTCAGGGATGACCTGAGGGAGCACAGCTGTGGGGAAGATGCCGAGTCCATTTGGGACACAGCAAAGCTGGGGGCTGTGCGGCCCCTGTGATGCTGCACATCATAGGGGTGTCGTGGGGGGAGTTCTCGAGGGACCCCTGGCATGAGTGAGAGGTAAGGCCCTATCAGGTGGCTGCAGGTGCTCTAAAAATGTCTATCCTGGGTCTAGGCCAGAGGCTGACAAGTGCCGCACCCTGGACCCTGCCTGGCAGGCTGGGCACAGGCTTCAGGTAGGCCTGCCATCTTGTTGCAGGGCAGCCTTCCTCCTGGCCAGGGGGGACCTCCTTGCTCCTTTCCAGATGACCGATTTCTGGACCCGGCTCTGTGGATTCCTACTCTGCCCTGTTTGGTTGGTTGTGCGCTGAGTGCCTCCAGTCAAAATAACTTGTGAAAAACCCTGCCCTCCATCTTGGAGGCCCTGGCCACACATGTGGCCCCTCCGTGCGTTCTCTTCCTTCTTTTGCTTTTTTAATTTTTTCAGCATGGGAGGGGCCTTGATTCGGCGCTTTCTGCCAGATGAATGATGTTTTTCATCGCTAGCAGCTTCTGTTCCTGGGACATCTCTCTCTCCTGCGTCCCCATTCCTCTCCCCCCAGGTGCCAACCTGCTCCTGCCCAGGAGCCTCAGGCTCACAGCCCGGCCCCCGCTGGCCTGATGCTCGGCTGATTGCTCTGCTCTCCCTCTGTTGGAGAGGCTCCTACGGGCGCTGGGGTGGAGGCCCGTGGAGGGTGAGCCAGGGCCGTCTGTACCGAGCCGGGGGGATGATCAAACTTTCTGGAGCCTGAGACTCTTAGGGAGGAGGGCTGGTGGGGCCATGAAGGGGCTTGGCCTCAGGCTGGATCGCGCACTCTCCCCTCTCTCTGCCAGCGTCACAGAGGATGCTATGCCAGGTGCTTCAGGGTCCGCGGAGACATGAAAGGGACAGTCCTGCTCTGGTCACATGCCACTGGGGCCAGGTGTTGGGCCTCGGGGCTGAGAGCTCTGGTCAGCTCTGAGGTTCTCACTCCCCCCACTCCAACCCTCTGCATCTCTGAGCTCCTCACTTCTTCCCTGTTCCCCTGAGAATCCTCACCCTCCCATCGCCCTCTGAGATCCCCACTTCCCCTACCCCAGGCAGTCCCTGCCTCCCTCCATGCCTCCACCTTTCCCTGCCAGCACCCCACACGCCTCCCTCCTTCCTCTCAAGCCCCACACTCCTGAGTCTGGGTTGGAGACCCTCTGACTCCACAGCCTGCATGACTCGCCCCTGGGCCTGCCCTTCAATCCCCGTAGCCACCGGCTTGACCCCTCCCCGCCTGTCCTTCTGCCTCCAGCCTTTGCTCCTGCTCTGTCCCCACAGAGCGCCTTGCTTGCTTCCCTCTCCTCTGAAGCTCAGGGCAAATCCAGCCTCTGCCAGCAAACTCTGCGGGCCCTGTGCGGGCTGTGCTGCTGCTCTGGGGAGGGTTCTGCTTGAGGGAAGGGGCTAAAGGCTCTGGCTGAGGCAGGGTTCAGGTCGGGTCAGACCCCAGATGGGCAGATTGCTGACCCCCTCTGAGTTCATTTCCTCCTCAGTCGTGCTGATGGGCTTCTAGGGCCACGGAATGGATGTGGTAATAAACTCTGACAGCCACTGTCACCTCGCTGTTGTCATGCATGTCGCAGTGCTTGGCACATGGGCAAGGTGTGTGTAGCTGCATGTGATTGACTGTGATGCCCGTGTGCCCAGGCTTGGATGATCAGAGCACACTGGGACAATTATCTGCACAGGATGAGGTGGGGACAGGGTGGTGCGGGACCTGAGTTCAGGTCCTGCCAGGCCACAGGCTGGTTGAGTGCTCTGGCAGTGGCCAGACCCGCAGGGCCTCGTTTCCTGCACTGGCTCCTCTGCAGAGCCGAGTGACTGCAGTAAAGTCCCCAGAGCGGGGCTTGGCTTGCAGGTGTGTGGTAATAGCGGTTCCACTTCCCGTTGCAGCTGTCTTTGCCTGAGGGTCAAGGGCAGGCACATGGAGAGTGGCACCGCATGGGCTGCCGGGTGCCATGGGCATTTGTGCAGTGAGGGACTGCCACCTTGCCACTGAGCATGGCAGGGTCTGGCCCTCTTCTGGGCTCCACAGCCCCCACAGTGATACTTACACATGCCATTGTCACCGTTTGCCGCCCTGTCTTCTTCACTTGAGTCTGAGCCTGAGGATGGCAGGACCCTGGGCGTGGGCATCACCATGATTGGCAGGGTCTAGCAGAGCACGGGTGCTCAGACATTGCTAGACAGCAGGATCCAGCCCTGTTTCTAGTGGCCCAGTCACTCTGGGCCAGGCCCAGGGCTCAATGCTCCTGAGCTCAAGGGGTACCCAGCATGGCTGGAAGGCAAACAAGCAAGCAGAAAGCAGCAGCCTGTGACGAGGGCCAAGGGAGTGGGCGCAAGGGCTCTAGGCATGCAGCCTCGAGGCAGGTGGGGGGGCTCCTAGCAAGGCTTCTTGGAGGAGGTGGGGGTGAGTAGGCACAGTTTGAGCCCAGCGATGAGTAGGCGGTGCTAGGGACAACAGCAGCCACCATCTGCCAAACACTTCCTCCAAGCCTCACAGCAGCCCTGTGAAGTGTGGCAACTTTTATTGTCCTCATTGTACAGAAGAGGAAGCTGAGGCCTATAGAGGCCCAGGGTTACAGAGCTCGGAAGTGCCCTGCAGTGCCCACCAGAGCACAAGGCGGGGGGCATGTTAAGGAGAGGCTGGGGAGGCTGGGTGCTAAGTAAGGGTCTTGGGAGTTGGGCCAAAGAGCTTGGACTTGACCTCCCTTCTCCTCATTTTAATACGCTTGTGGGCTCTCAAAGTTGGACGAGGCCTCAGAAGTCATCTCCCAGCATTGCCACCCTCCTTGGAAAAGGGACCCCAGTAAGCAGCCTCCCAAGAACCAGTATTGAGAGGCAGCTTATGAGATCACTGAGCACTGAGGCTGAGTCACTTGGGCCCTGCAAGCTGCATGATCTGGGGTGTGACACCTCACAAGGCCCAATTTCCTTATCTGTAAAACAGGAACAGTGATGCCTGCCTCCTGGCATTTGGCACAGGGCCATCATTTAGATAGGTTCACCAGCTGGATCTTGCAGGCAACACAGGGTTCATATCATCTCCCCATTGCACAGAAAGGACAGCTGTGGCTCAGAGAGGAAGCGCCTTTCCATTTGAGTTCTGCTGCTAGCTCAGGGCAGACCTGGGACTTGCCCTCTGACCTTCCTCCTGCTGTGTGAATCCCCAACTACACCTCTCTCCATCCATGGGTCAGGCCTCAGTTGAACCCTTGTGGGGTGGTGGTGGGGTTCACTGACTTCACAAGGCCCTGCTGTGATAGCTCTTCCTGTCTCATTCTGTCAGTACTGGTTTGCCCAGAGCTGTAGTTCCTTCTTCCTGGCCCCTGGTCTTATCTCCACTCTGTGATATCCAGCATCTGCCTAGCCCACCTGCTTTTACTTCTTTAAGCCAGGGCTGTTTTCTTGGCAAGCTTCTCTCTTCCCTTTTGTCGTTTCTCGGCATCCTCCCTGGTCTGGCCCCATCCCATGTCGACCACCCATGTTCATCAGCCTGAAAAACCCCTGGCCCTGGTAGGTGACATGAACACTGAATTAGGAGTTGGTGTATTTGGTGCTCTTCCTGGCTCTGTCTGGTCTGATCAGGCCATGTCATCTGACCTTTCTGGGCCTCACTTTCCCCATCTATAAAGAAGACAGAGCCCTGGCAACACAGCGAGACCCCGTCTCTTAAAATTTTTTTTTTTTTTTTTAATTAGCAGAGTGTGGTGATGCTGCCTGTGGTCCCAGCTACTTGGGAGGCCGAGGTGGGAGGATCAGTTGAACCTGGAAGGTCGCGGTTGCAGTGAGTCATCACCGTGCCGCTGCACTCCAGCTTGGGTGACAGAGGGAGACCCTGTCTCGGAAAAAAAAAAAAAAAAAAAGAGGGTTGAGGCAGGCATTGTATGAGATTATCTATTCTGCTATTGTTTTTAGGTTTGCCTATTTGTATTTAAAGTAGTTGTTAAAAGAAAATCATGTCTTGGTATCATTCTGTTAGGTGAGTTTTTCCAGGGCATCTCAGGGACTGTGGGGGAACCCCAGGAGGAGGTGGGGGCAGGTATAGCCCCTTCAGCGGTAGGAAGTGTAGGGGAGAGGAGAAGGCCAGCTGGGGCCTACCATTTCACCTGCTGCAAAAGCAACAGGAAGCACATCTGCACCTCCCTGGTACAGCCACTGCACCACTGAGAGGAAAGGAATTGGGTCCCCAGAGCCCTGACCCACATCCTGCCACAGCCTGCCTGTCCTGTGAAAAACAGCCTCTCCGAGGCCCCGAAAGTTACTGGTGTGTTGTAGGGCACACCCGAACAGATGACTTACTTGGGGACCAGGTCCCATCAAAGATGACAGAACAGGCCCCTCGTCTGTCCCCAGCCAGCATCTACGTGTCCTCCACTTTTCTGCTCTGTTATCCGTCATGGCTGGCCCCACCACTCCATATTCTCCCCCGAAGCCAGTGCACAGCTGTATGTGCCACACATTTTTCAGAAGAGGAGGACAGAGCTTTGTCAGCTTCTCAAAGGGGTCTGTGACCCAGAAATAGTTGCACAACCTACGGTCTGTTCCATATCTGTTCTGGCCAGCAGCTGTCCCTACATCCTCCCTAAGAGCCATCTGTCCCTCTTCTGACCTCCCTCTCCTGAGATGGGTGGGGGAAACAGACTTGAGAGGCAGCCCCGACTCCCTTCCCAGTTCCTCCTCTCACCAATTGGCTTGGGACAAGTCATTTTTCATCTCAGTAGGCTTGTTTCCTCATGTGTAAAATGGAGCTAAATAACCCCTGCATCAGCCTGGCATGGTGGCTCATGCCTGTAATCCCAGCACTGTGGGAGGCCGAGGCGGGCTGATCACCTGAGGTCAGGAGTTCCAGACCAGCCTGACCAATATGATGAAACCCCATCTCTACTAAAAATACAAAAATTAGCCGGGTGTGGTGGCATGCACATGTAATCCCAGCTACTTGGGAGGCTGAGACAGGAGAATCACTTGAACCCAGGAGGGGAGGTTGCGGTGATCCAAGATTGTGCCATTGCACTCCAGCCTGGGCAACAAGAGTGAAACTCTGTCTCAAATAAATAAAAATACCCCTGCCTCAAGCCTCAGGGTTGGCATAAGGACCATGTGTGCAAGGTGGAGCTGGGCACAGTAGCAAACATGGACAGGGTACGTGTTCCAAGCTGGCTCTTAGGAAGATAGCTGCTGTTACTATCTAGTGTTGTCCTTCCTTTTCCCCAGGGAGTCAGTTGAGGAGACACTAAGACCACTGCCCAGCCTGGGAGGGAGCCACAGAGACTAGGGCTGCTAGGGACACGGCAGCCAGGAGGCGGCTCATAGGTGTCTGTCCTCTTTGCCAGGGGACTCATTGGCGCCCCCTGAGGTGGACTTTGACAGGCTGCTGGCCAGCCTGCAGGATCTTAGTGAGCTGGTGGTAGAGGGTGACACCCAGGTGACACCAGTGCCCGGCGGGGCACGGCTGCGTACCCTTGAGCCCATCCCACTGAAGCTCTACCGGAATGGCATCATGATGTTCGACGGGCCCTTCCAACCCTTCTACGATCCCTCCACACAGGTAGGAGCGGTGTTGGGGGGTTGCTGTTCTAATGCCCCTGCTGCCCACTGTTAGTTGGGGATGATGGAGTCAGTTCACCCCAGGTCCAGCCTGCCCTCCATGGGGCACCCAGGCCCACACACGACTTGCAGATGCCCCTCCCCCAAGGCCTGGGACTCAGCTTCCAGAGTGTAGCACTGGGTGACCCTAGATCTAGGGCCTGCCATCCAGACTAGTGGCAGGGCAGGGTGGGTCCAAGGCCCAGGGCACCCGCTCACTTTTCCTCTCCCCTTGCAGCGCTGCCTCCGAGACATATTGGATGGCTTCTTTCCCTCAGAGCTCCAGCGACTGTACCCCAATGGGGTCCCCTTTAAGGTGATGAGCTGCTCCTCAAACCACACCTTTGGGGATTTTGGAGGCCGTGAGGATACACAGCCTCCCCAGGCACCTCCCATTCTGAGGGAAAGCCACTGCGCCCCCTGGGGGACCCCAGTTTGATGCCCTCCAGGAGGATAAGCCTGAAGCCGGGCTGGGAAGGGAGCAGGGAGGACCGAAACAGAGCAGCAGGCAGCGCCCTCTGCTGGCACCCTGGAGACAGCCTCGGCTGCAGGGCCACTGCCTCCCAGTCCTCCCCAACTTTCAGGACACCTTGACAACCTGGGGTCCCTGCAGAAGTGACCCGGCTATCCCCCAAGTCTCCTGAAGCTATCTGGGTAGGGTGGGAGGCAGTGCTGTGAGCCACATGCAAAACAGAGGGGACAGATGTTGGGACTCAAGGACATAAGGTAGAGCTGGCCCATGGGTAGGTGCCACCACCGGAGCCCGTGAGGCTGCGTGTTCCAGAGGGTGGTGGGTTAGTGCCGCACTGAGGGCGTGTCAGGGAGGCAGCATGTGTCACCAGGGCTCAGGAAACAGCATGAGTCATGACTGGGGGTGTTTAAGGCATTTGTGCCACAATGGGGGCCTCGGAGCCTTGATGAGGCAAGTGAGGTTCCATGTACGATGATGCAGTTTGTGCTGCAGACTGGAAAAAAGCAGGAGCTTCGTCCTCTCCTGACCCCCTCACACTCTGCCTTCATGGTAGGCTCCTGAGAGGGGGTCTCCAAGGAGGGTGTCAGTACTGCAGCTTCAGCTGGCCTGGATGGGGTGCTTGCAGGAGCAGCAGGGCCGAGGAAGATGACAGCAGTATGAACTGTGGCTCTCCTGAGGCCTGGGTTTCCTCGTATGTAAAATGAGGGTTGCATTAGACCATACCCTTGGCCTGTGTTTAGGCAGATAGGGCTGAAAGTGGGGCCAAGGGCTGAAGAGCTGGGCCCACTGCTGTCACCCTTCTTTCTTGCCAGGTGAGTGACTTGCGCAATCAGGTCTACCTGGAGGACGGGCTGGACCCCTTTCCAGGCGAGGGCCGTGTGGTGGGCCGGCAGCGGATGCACAAGGCCTGGGACAGGGCGGAGGAGCACCCAGGTGAGTTTGGCCTCCAGGTTGAGGCAGGGGGCCGGGGGACTGCAGAACAAACTCCAGGGGGGCTCCATCACCACTCATAGTCCTTCCTGGGCCCCGGTTCCCAATGCTGTCCCTGCAGGCTCCAGGATGACTGCTGAGAAATTTCTGAACAGGCTCCCCAAGTTTGTGATCCGGCAAGGCGAGGTGATTGACATCCGGGGCCCCATCAGGGACACCTTGCAGGTGAGGCCAACCCTAACTCCCCCAGCCCTCTTGGGGGAACTAGCACCAGCCCTGGTCCAGCCTGCCAGAACAGTGTCTTATCTGGAGGCTCAAGTTTGAGGCACCTGATGAGTCCCTCAGAGCTGTTGCTCCACTGTCTCCTGGAAACTGTGAGGCTAGTGAGGGCACTGGCTGGGCCCTAGAAAGCAGGTGGGTTGGCTGTAAGAGGGCTAAAGTCAGTCCAGGCCAGGGGTGAGCCCAAGGCCCAGGCCACCCCATCAAGGTCTAGGCCAAAATATCCAGCTCAGTACCGGGTACTCCCTTCGTGGTTGCCTCAGATTCTCCTTAGCCCTCATCATTCTGTCTCCTCGCCCCCTATCCTGCTTCTCTTCCTAGGTGTCCACATGTGAAAGGCACCAAACCTTAGTTTCTCAGGCCTCCTCTGCCTCCCTCACCCACACATTGCTAAGTCCTGTCTGGTCTGTCCACCCTCAGAACTTCTCCCAGATGCATCCCTTCTCCTGATTCCCACCACCCACCACCCTAGTCTAGGGTCCAGAGTATCTCTCCCAGACAGCTGCCTCCCACTGCCACTCCTGCCCCTGCTGACCATCCTCCAGGCTGCCTTCCCTGTTGATATCTTCCAGTGGTTCTTGAGATAAAGCCATGTTCCTTATGCTGGCACTCAAGGCCCGTCCTATATTGCCAGGCCCCTCCTCACACCAACCTATTCCTTCCAGTCCAATTGAGCCCCAGCTTCAGCCACACATAATGCTGGCAGTTGCCCAAATGTGTCACCACCTCTAGGAAGCTTTCCCTGACCCCAGGATCTCTGTTGATGCTGTCTGGAATATCCCTGCACCCATTCCATTTCTAAGGACTCCCACTCATCCTTCAGTCACAGCTCAGTTGTCATTTTCCGAGGGAAGCCTTCCCTGACCCCAGGCTGGGGTGGGCTTCCAGCCTGATCATCATCTGTGTGGGTTTCTGTCTCCATTAGACTGAAACCGGGGGTTACCTGGGGGGGGAACCATGGGGCTGCCTCCCAGAACCTCCTTCCCCTTCCATTGCCTCTCCTCTGGCCTTGGTTTATACAGAACACCCCCTCCTGCTTTGCTCACTGGTCTCATCTGTCCCTGGTCAAGGATGTGTCCCTTTAAGGATTGTGGGAATGACTCAAATGGGGCCTAGGGCTCTGTCCACCCTCCATTGATACCTTCCAGAACTGCTGCCCATTGCCTGCCCGGATCCAGGAGATTGTGGTGGAGACGCCCACCTTGGCCGCTGAGCGAGAGAGGTGAGGGCAGGACGAGGAGGTGAGGGCCTGGGGGCATTGGGTCACCGAGCGCTGATGGCCTCTGGGCTGTGCAGGAGCCAGGAGTCGCCCAACATGCCAGCACCCCCGCTCTCCATGCTGCGCATCAAGTCTGAGAATGGGGAACAGTCCTTCCTACTGATGATGCAGCCTGATAACACCATTGGGGATGTGCGAGCCCTGCTAGCGCAGGCCAGGTGGGCACAGGGCAGGGCTGGGACCACAGAGGGGCTCTGGCCTCACTGCCCAGCCTGATCTGCTCTGCCTGGTCCCCAGGGCCATGGATGCCTCTGCCTTTGAGATCTTCAGCACATTCCCACCCACCCTCTACCAGGACGATGCACTCACGCTGCAGGCTGCAGGCCTCGTGCCCAAAGCAGCACTGCTGCTGCGGGCACGCCAAGCCCCAAATTCCAGCCCGAACTTCAGTCCTAGTCCAGGTCCCGGCCCCAGTCCCAGCCCCCAATAAAGCGCCCGCCCCCTCAACCCGCTGCTCCGCCAGGCTCTCAGGGGTGGGCCATCTTGCCAGGCACGTAGGAAAGGCCTGGGACCAGCTGGGCCAGGGAGGGGGCGGTGCTGACCCGCCCCTTGGTAACTTGAGCCCCAGCTGGCGGGCCTGGCTGCTGGGTCTTTGTCTTCTAGGTTCCTCTTTCTCCCAAGAAGGGCTAAGTGGATCCTGTGAAGGGAGGGATGCAGTGGGGGGAAGGAGCTGGCCCCAGCTGGGTTTACATTCTCAGCTGGGACAGCAGAGCCTCACTGTGTAGTGTGCAGCCAGCAGATACCTGGGCACAGGCACAGACCCACCAACTTGTGGGGACACCTCAACACTGCACAAAGCCATTTTGCCACTGGACCCATGCCCCCAAACTAGCAGAACTGCAGCTGGGTACCCACCTCCCATGACACACTCATACTTAGCCATTGTGCTCCAACACAGGTGCATGGGATGGCCACACTCACTGACAGGCATGCACATGTGCAGTACACACCAAGGCACAAGCGTGATATGGACACCACATGCATGTGAACTGGAAGGTGACCCACCCAGACATCTCCAGAAACCACTGGTCCATACAGGTATGTGTGTACCAGACATATCCAAACACATGCACTAACACAGAGGTGACAGTCCCATGAGAACAGCTTAGCCACCCTTCCCACAGAGCACAGTCTCAGCACAGTCACAACTACCAACCTTGCCCAGGGCAGGGACCCAGGAAGCCCAGGCCACAACCAACCAGACACAGTGCCAATGGAACAGGACATCATTTAATTGTCTCTAGGGTCCTCCTGGGAGAGGGACTGCGGGGCCTTTGGCAGAGCTCTGGCTGATGGAACCAATAGAGGTGCCCATCAGCCAGTGCCAGGCAGGATGGCGGCCCCAATGCTTGGCTGGGGGCAGCCAGCATTTGGGGCTGTTGCTTAAGACAATTTCTGAGACTAATGGGTAAGGAATGTTGCCTTTGGATGGAGAAGAGGGGACTACATTTAGAGAGGAGGGAGGAGAAGTGGCCTGGATTGCGGGAGGGACTCTAAGGTTAGGGTAGGAATGACAGGGAGTTGTTCAAAAGGTCCTTCATGGCCAGGTGAAGGCTTGGGGGAGTGTGGTGATGGAGTCCAGCAGGGGAACTCTGGACAGGCTTGACTCAGGCCAGCTTCAGGAACTCCTGCAGCGTGTTTTGTTCCACGGCCTCCACGAAGAGCTCATAGTCCTGGGGAAGGGGAGGCAAGGGGTGGTCACCTGAATGCAGGAGGCCCAAGTGCTTTGTGGCAGATCTGACCCTGGCCAGAGCCCTCTTCCAACACTCCCCCCACCCCCGAGTCCCCCAGCCCATACCCCACAGTACTGGTCCCCGTTGACAATCTGGGGTGGGGTGGCCTTGGGGTTGCCCGCCAAGGCTCGCATCTCATCCCTCAGGGCGTTGTCCTGGGAGATGTCCACTAGCTGGTATTGGATGCGCTTCCCATCCAGGATTCGGGTCACCTCGCTCTGCTGGGACTTGATCTGGGGACAGAGGGTGGGTAGGGGTTATTGGATAGGCTGGAGGATTTATGGGGGGAATGCTGGGCAGGGTGAGAGAGGCTGTGACCAGGAGCTTTTGTCCCCCCGACCCCCCTCCACACTAGGGGAGGGTTCTGGCCTCTAGGAGTTGGGAGGATGAGTCAGGCTTGAGGTGGTGCAGGATGAAAAGAGGGATCAACTACGGGGAGGGGGTCAGAATGAAGGGAAGTGGGATCAGGCTCAGGGTGGGGAGGGCAGGGCAAGCCCCCCAGGCCCCGGAAGAGCAGGTTGCCGTCGTGGTCAGGGTCAGCCTGGTAGTGGGAGTGCAGAGAATGGATGTGGGGTTGATGGGGGATGGGCACGGGAAGTTCATGCTGCAGCTGCAAAGGACCCAGGATGCCCGATGAAGACGCTCAGGATGGGGCCTCGGGACCGGATCCGGGAGACAGTGCCCAGCACCTCGCCGACGCACTCCCCCACCCCGTCCCCGTCGTGGGGGCGGGTCCCGGGCGCCAGGGTCCAAAACACTGGGACACAACCCTGAGCTCTCCCCCCTCCAGCGCCAGTCCGGGCGCACACTTACTTCGCGGGAGCCGGTGACCGACGTGCTGTAGACGCGCAGGCCGCTCATGCTGGGGGTAGACGGGCCGGCGGGCAGAGAGCGGCAGTAGTGGCAGCTGCACTGCCGGGAGACGACGCCGTCGCCGTGCTCGGGAGCGGTTTCCTTCCTGCTCCGCCCGCAAGTCATCGCGCTCGGGACCAATGGGCGGCGCGGGCAGGCGGGGCGGGGCCTGCGCGACACCGCCCCGCGCGCCGGAGGCCCCTTCCCTTCCCTCTGGGTGACCAGGCGCGCAGAGGGATCCGTCCCACGCAGGGCCGCCCCTTCTGTGGCTGCCCTGCTCGTCCTTTTCGGCCCTTTCCTGATCTGGAGCTCAGTGTGCCTGGGGAGGAGCTGGGTGGCAGGAAAGGCCCGGGAGAGGGTCTGGCAGAAGCCGCCTCTCCAACCGCACACAGGTTTGGTGCATCCAACTTCCCATCTACCAGAGTCGCTGTCTCCAGGAGGAGGTGCCCTAAATAGTACAGGGCAGCTTGGGGCTTTGGAAGGCTTGAGCTGCTTTCAGACCCAAAGTTCCCATATTAAGGTACCTTGCTCCAAGGAAACCCCCCTCTCCCCCGCCAACACACCACTAACCCTAGGGGATAGGAAGAGCCCATGCTTACATTTCCCCCCCAAGTTCCTCTCCACTCAGGTGGGAAGGTTTAGACAAGGAAGGGTGGTGGCAGGATGCAGAGGCCACACCCCCAAGGAACCAGATGGAGACCAAGGCTGACAGCTGGGAAGTGTGGCGGTAGAGGGTGGTGTCAGGATTCTTGAGACCCTAGGGTCAAGCTGACCTAAGATCCACCCCTGGTCTTGGGGTGGTCCAAGCTCAACCCCAGCTCCATGCATGCATGCCCCAAACTGCTACTCCTCCCAGCAATTCAGGAGTTGAGGGGACAGACTCCAGCAACCAACCCAATTTTGGAAACCTAGCTATCTGGCATTCAACATAATGCTTCTCAGATGTCCCCCTGGTCCAGGGCTCAGGCAGGTAACAGCCCAGAAAGACAACCCTTGCTCTGGTAAAGCCACTTCCTCACAGCAACCCAGAGGCTGCCAACTTCCTGAGGACTGCTGAAACTTTCCAGTGACAAACTTCTGCTGTGACTCAGGGAAAGTTTGCCCAACAGAAAGTGAGTGGGAAGAGATCTGGTCCTACAGAACGACAGAGGAGCAGAACTGGCAGAGAGAGGGATAGGAGGCTGGACCTGACAAAGGTTCCTCCATGCTGCTACCTGGGGGACCTGGCTGAAAACCCAGACTTTGGCTCTAACAAACCAAAGGGGTAGAATAGCGTGGTGGTGGTGATGGAAGGGTATGGAAAACTGAGGAGTCTGTTAAGATATTTTATTTTATAATCAAAATAGGCAATACAAACAAGTTGACATAACAAAGATTCATATAAATAACTGGTTATAAACTTTATGAGGAAAAATACCCGTGAGCATGGTGGCTGGGCTCCCAATGCACAGGGTGGAGACCAACCAGACGGCTCTGCCTTTAAGAAGCAGGAGCCCAGAGGCTGAAGGGCTGGCTGGGTGGGGCTGCTCTGAATGGAAGGGATAAGTCACTCCATAAATAAAACACAAACTTGTAAAAACACTTAAGAAAGAGCCTCATTCAGGCCCAGGCATGAGGTCCATGATGCTGCCAACAGCCCAAAGCTTAGCAAAAATCTTGTAGTGGCTGACTGGCCCACACCTGGCCCCTGCCTGGCCTGGCTCCAGATCTAGATGAGGCATGGCTGGCCCACCAACCAGACACTAACAAGTGTGAGATGCTCCCTAAACCAGGAGGCAAGAAAAACCAGAGGGCAAAGGGCCCTCCCTAAAGCCCCAGAGAAACAACCCAGGAAACATTAAAAGCTGTACTTTAAAGCTGACTTATACTGGGTACTCTGAACTTTCAAGGAGGCCAGAGCAGGAAAGGGAGAGGAATAATGCCCACCACCCCCAATACAAGAGAGGCACAAATTAAAGGGCTGGGCACAGGCTGTAGCCCTCGGTGAGGGGGTAAGCAGCTTGACAGTTGCGCTGTGGTCTTTGGGATATAATTCTACCCAAGGCTAGAACCACAGGGAAGAGTTTGCACTCTTAAGTCCAGGAAGGGGGCTACCTGGAAGGCCTGAGAACAAAGGAGAAAGGGGCTGTGCTAAACACATGGCCAGGGCCCTAGGGACACAAGGCAGCTGGAGAGTGGGATCTCTTGTTAAATGGCATGGTAGGCAGATTAGAGTCCCGGCTATAATCCCTAGGGCCCCAATCCTAGTAGTTATGTGCTAACCAACACACTACCCTGAGGCTTCTGGGACAACAAGAGCCCTGAGGAAGAAGCAGTGAGACCAGGCATGAGAAAACCCAGAAAGCCAGCTCAGTGTTCCCAGGAAGGCTGGCACATGGGGCCTGAGAATTCTTAAATGGCCATTGTTACTAGTACTACCCTCGGCCTTTCCAGGCCCCTCTGATGAGCTCTCTAATCAGCAGGACCAAGGTGTGAAGTGGGAATTAACAGGGATCCATCCCATTGGATGAAGAAAGGTGAACAGCCTGTTCGTCTCTGATGTCAGCCTAGGGCTGGGAACAGTTTGTGAGGACTCATCTATTGTACCTGCCAAAAGTTAATTAGTAACTCACCGTTGAGAGTGAATTAGCAGGACAAACATAATCCAACATGCCAGTGTGGGGTAGGACAGTTCCCTAATCAGCCCTTGGCCTCCAGATGCAGGCTCTCCCCTCCCCTTCTGACACTTCTCTCTGGGAACAGCAGACAAGAGAATGTCAGGGCAGAAACCTGCTGGACTAGGCTCTCAGCAGCCCAGATCCTCCCTGGGGGAATCCCCCAGAATTCCTCACTGTGTGACACAGTTTTCTCCCATGTCCTGGGCATATCTGTCTGACATGGTGGTCCTTAAGTCCTCAATGTCACGACGCAGCTGTTGAACCTCCTCTAGTTTCCTCTTGATCACATCTGGCTTCTGCAAATCTAGCTGAGTCTCTGGGTGCTGTGCTGCTGGGGAGAACATTTCAAGAGAATGTTAGTTGCAAGACACTTTCATGTGGAGGGCACAGTATGGATAGGCAGTATCTTGAACTCACAGTCTTGGGACATACACTTTAAAAAAAGCATCTGGGGACAGTGGGTTAATTTGCTGCTGAAGGCCTGCTTTTAGTTTGTCCTGCATGCAAGTACCCCATAGCTTGTTTCCAAAAACAGATTTATGAACACCTACTTTGCGAAACAAATAAATGTCCAGAGGGCAGTGGCCAGGCCTATGTACTCTGTCTACATATTACTGTAAGAATATGGGAAAGTGGGATGGGAGAGAGAAGAGAAAGAAGGCCCCTCCTTCCTGGGCCCCAGACTGGTCTGAGGACTCACAGTGAATGCCTAGGAGCAGGGAGAGATTGGGATCATGGCCCTGGGCCCTCTGGGTCACAATGCTACAGACAGCCTGCAGATCTTGAAGGCAACTAGCCAACTCCTGGTACAGCTCAAGTGCCAGCTGGGCTGTGTCTGGTGAAGGTGGAGACCCTGGTTGGGCCTGGCGCAGGTGTTCCTGGAGTGTCAGATTCTTCTCAATCAAGTCCTGGTTTTGCACTGAAAGCTGAGCAGACAGATGGGTAAGCACGTTAACTCAGGCCCAGGAAGAGGAAGAGTATCTATGCATGTATGTGTGGGTGTGGAAGGAATGGGTGAGTCATAGGCAGTGTCCCCCCTTCCCCAACCCTACCCCTGCCAACAGGCTTTAGCACTTCCCCCACTATCAATATCAGGCCTGATTCTTCCTGTGGGTAGGCTGGGCCCACAGGGCTCTAGCACTAGAGAGGAAGCCAACCCTCAACTGGTTCTGAATCATCAGCATCCTAGTTTCTGTTCAAGAACCAGAGAAGATGCTCCCGCCCCTAGGAACTCTATCTCAAGTCAGTCCCTCAGCCAACTCTGTTAGCCAGGCTATTAGAGAAGGTTTACCGTGAACCGTGAAATCTGAGGAGACACTGGTTTCAATCTCTCCCTGCCACCCTGACAAAAGTGGCCACCAGCCAGCCTGATCACAGTTGTGTCAAAGGAATAAAGACAGTAAGAAAGACAGTATGACAGCTAGTAGCCACTAGGTGAGGGGCTGGAGAAGCTGGGACCTGGAGGATCCAGCCCTGGAACGAGTCCTGCCTTTTCAAACTCTCACCTCAGTGGAGTCAGACTTTATTACAAAAACCATCTATTCATGTATGTCTGTCTGTTTCCCTCTCTTCCTGACAGCTTAATCCACTTCCCTTCCCTTCCTACCTTGACTGTGTTTTTATACAGTCTGAATAGAGTCCCTCCTTCAGTCCCAGGCCCTCCACCCACACTGGGCCATGTGACAATCCTAGCTAAAGGAGGTTCCTTCCTAGGTACTAGGCCAGTCAGTGAACTTGATTGCCCCCTGCTGACAGCTCTGTTTAGTGCATGAAGGCCACCAAATCCTCAGTCTTCTCGAACTCTCCACTCCCCAACCCCAGAAACCTGCGGCTTCAAGAAGACAAAGGAAGAGAGAATGACTTGCCCCATCAAAAAGCATTCCTGGGCCTGGCGCAGTGGCTCACACCTGTAATCCCAGCACTTTGGGAGGCTGAGGTGGGCTAATCACGAGGTCAGGGGATGGAGACCATCCTGGCCAACGTGGTGAAACCCCGTCTCAACTAAAATACAAAAAATTAGCCGGGCACGGTGGCTCGTGCCTATAGTCCCAGCTACTCAGGAGGCTGAGATGGGAATCGCTTGAACTCGGGAGGTGGAGGTTGCAGTGAGCCGAGATTGTGCCACTGCACTCTAGCCTGGCAACAGAGCAAGACTGTCTCCAAAAGAAAAAAAAAAAAAAAGAGAGAGAAAAAAAAGCATTCCTAGGTAACAATTATGGACATGCTAAAACAGGCTTAGGGTCTGTAATATAAAGGATGATGCAATGCACCTTTCCTCTGCCCCCAAAGCTCAGTAGGGACCTTTCCCTTTCAAACACTGAGGTTCCTATTGGAGTAGAGATGGGGAGGGCATACAAAGAAATCGGGTTTGTAGAGGCAGAACCAAGAGGTCTGACTAATGCTACTCACCTCCTTCACGGCTGTGCGCAGCTGCTGCAGGGCTGAATCCCTTCGTTGGGCCTCCTCTCTCAGGGCCTGGCTTGTTCCTTCTTCTTGAGCCACTTCCTGCTCTAGGCTCTGAATCACACAGCCAAGATGTTGAGGGAACACAGGAGTAACAAGTCTGGTTCCAACAATATCACCGCTGGCTTGGACTATATAGTGAAGACTCACCCTACCTACACACTCCTGCTAAGAAATCATTTTACAACAGTCCTGATTTGTGACCTCCCATTTAAGCCCTCCTATAGCCCTTGACCACATACCAAATAGAGGTCAGCTTCTTAGCAGGGCATTCAAGGCCACAGTAGCTCCTACCTACTTTTCTAGCCATATCTCTTTCCACCCTCCACATGGTCAGCCTCTACACTGCCATAATGAATGACTGGCCCTCATCCCTGAAGGCTGCAGCGTCAATGCTTCTGCTCACTTCCCTTTTCCTTTGTTCAAGCTGCTCTTCTGCTGTTACCTCCAGGAAACCTCCAAGGCCCACCTGAGCTTTCTTCAATCTGCAAATCAGGTCCAATTAATCCTAATCCTACCTTGCTATCATATCCATCATGGCTTACAAGTACATCTGCTTAATATTCTAGTTGGCTATGCACATGATCCTTCACTCCACTCAAACACAAACTTTCTTGAGGGCAGGGAATGTGCTATTCAGCTGAGTTCAGTATTTACTGAGCGCTTACTGTGACAGGCACTGAGGAGAACACCAACAGTTCCTGTCTTTTAGGAGTTAACAGTCAAGTGCTCTTGACAATACTGTCTATTAAATGCTGTTCAGAGACATGGAAAGGGGTAGGAGAGCATACTCACAGGTGCCTAATCTAGTGAGTTCTGTGTAAGTGTGTTCGTGTGTGT